CGGTGCCGGAGCCCCCAGGACACCGGACGGATGGTGCCGACGGCTCGGGTGCAGTAAGTGTCCCAGGAGGATACCCAGGCGGGGTGGTGGAGAGCGGGGAGTGGAAGAAACCTGGGGAAGAGTGCTTCTGGCGCCCGTGGGCAGGCTAATTTCGGGGATCGTCGTGCCTGTTGTGGAGGGAATGCGCTAGTTGTCCCCCACTTAGGGCCCCGGGCTGGGACTCGGTAGAGAGGGTGGGCCCGGGTCCCGTGCAGTAAGTGTCCCAGGAGGATACCCAGGCGGGGTGGTGGAGAGCGGGGAGTGGAAGAAACCTGGGGAAGAGTGCTTCTGGCGCCCGTGGGCAGGCTAATTTCGGGGATCGTCGTGCCTGTTGTGGAGGGAATGCGCTAGTTGTCCCCCACTTAGGGCCCCGGGCTGGGACTCGGTAGAGAGGGTGGGCCCGGGTCCCACATTCCCCCTTTTCTCTGCAGCCTCAGCCTACCCAACTTCCTCAGTAGGCCACAACTGCTGGGAGCCTGGTGAACTCGAACGCAATCCAAATGCTTGATTCCCCCTCCCCCCCCTCCGGGGTGGACCTTTCCCAGGAACAGGCCCCCAGAATCCTTACCCGACGGGAGCCCAGGACCCTTAACGGGGGCAGGGCAGTGAGTCCGTCGAATTCCGGTGCCGACCCAGCAACGGGTGATTGCACTCATGAACTCCTCCCCAGGGAACAGGACCCTGGGAGAAAAGTGTATCAGACTTAGACGGTGGGTCCGCTAAAACCCCCTGCCCCTCCGGGAGGGGGCGCTCGCACCCAGTAAAATCTGTGACACACACTATTCCTTAAAAATTGTTTTTCTCATTTTTACTACCTAATTATAAAATAAAGCAATTAGAGTATAAATATTGTTTTTAAATGTCGGTGTATAGCATGCAGAGAAGTATTAACAAGTCTTTGCCAGTATAACATTTTAGTTTGTACTGACTTTGTTAGTGCTTTTTATGTTGTCTGTTATAAAATGTTACAAAGGACAGGGGAAGTGCTATAAAAACACACTGAAAGTGTATTTTAATAAAAATGGATGTCACAAACTCAACCTAGTGGCACTACATTCTCTATCAAGCAGTGACCCACTTTTAGGAGAAGCACCTTGCCCTCAAAACTGAAAAGAAAAAGTGAAGGCAGGAAAAAGAACTTTCTTCCAGCAGACAGCTGGCCTACCACAAAATGTCTGTCCCTACTCTGAGTCACCTCAGGACACATATGAAAATTTGTGGTTAAAATCATCCAATGAATGAATGAATGCTTGGTGACTGGCAAGTTCTTATGGGAGGGTGGAGAGCAGCAAGGTGTCGGAGGAAAACCTTGGGGGAAGGATGGAGATGGGAGCAGGCTCTTGGGGGAAGCGGCGTTACTGAGCACTCACTAAGAAAAATAAAGGTTAGTTTCTGTGACTATACTGCAGTATACAGCAGCCCACTTCTGTCATCACAGGACTGTAGATGGGACTGGTTTCATTACACTGATTATAATACCCTTTCTTAATACCTAAGGTCCACTGGCATTGCAGCATTCTGATCTCAGGTAAGGGAGGAAAGAAGCACACAGTCCCTCCCGCCACAATCCTCCACTTTTGCCTCTGCACCTCCTTCTATACAACTAACATCAACTGTATGGGTGAAGTGGCGGGTGGGGCCTGAAGTAGTACAATTAGAATGTCAAGTTCTACATTACAATTCCTTTGTGCTACGTTTGAATAGAGCAATGCCCAAATATAGCTTTGCCAGTTAACTGAGAAAGTCTGCTGTTGTTAAGAGTTTTGTAAAGTAGCAAAGCATAAAGACTCTGGAAGCATGACTTGGTAAAAATAAAAAAATATATAAATGCATGATTCACACTTTAAATATTGTAGTAGTTGAGGAAGGGAAAGGCAAATGTCATGGCTGCAGTGCTCTGCATGGCACGTATGGTGATATATATACTGAAAAACAACCAATAGTCAGATGTCTTGAAGTACATTTTATATTATTCTGGAGATTTCAGAAACTTACTAATGATACTTATTACCATAATTAACAGTGACTCTTTGAATTGCATCTTTAAAATGATTTTATACTTTAGCCACATCCTGAGGCACAGTGGCAACAAGAAGAGAAAAGAAAAATGCATCAGTCTGCGTTAAAAGGCCACCTTCAGAATACTGATAGTGTGCATACAGGTGAAGTAATGGAGCAGAGAAACACTGGGGCTAAAGGAGCTGAAACGAGGGAAGTATTTTTATTTTAAGGAATGATGCATAATACAGTGTTAAAATCTACATTGCCGGTAGATTATCCCTTTCTATATTCATGGATTAATTCAGGAAGAAAATCAATTCCAGTAATCTCATGCTAGTTGGCTATTTTAAGACAACGAGAAAGCAGACTAGGTTTTGTCATAGACTTATAATACCCTGAACAAACCTTGCAGTATTAAGATAATCTTTACTGAATTATGTTAAAACTTTTTGAATTAGTGTTGATACCTTGGAATACTTTATATTAGAATGAAATTGTGTATGTTATTATGTTACTGAATGTATCTTCTCTAGTAAGTATAGTGATTATAATTTATTTTCTAGTGGCTTCCTATTTTAGTTTAAACTAGATTCTCTAGGGACCAACAAAGAAAGGAACTTTGAATAAACAGCCTGGTTTTAAGCAGCCTCAGAACCTTTTTGCTGATCCAGCAAATAGACAGGTTTGCTGGTCAACAGAACGTCCACCTTAAGGAAGGTATGATGTTATCTGATTAAAATATGACCATATAGCTCATTGTTGCTATCACTGTTATATAATTGCCACAAATTTTATATAAAGTGTGTCAAGGAAGGTAACTTATGATTTCTAAATTATACATGCTATTTGTAAGCATGCATCTTTTTATTTGAAATTATTGCTATTGGCTCATACCTGGATTTCAAATGTTTGCTCCTGTGATAACAACCCACAAGGTATTTAGCCTGTTCATCTAGAAGGGATCATTCAAGCTAAAAGGCTCATCAACAAACATTTAATTCACATGGGAACATGGAAGATGTTTCTGTCTAACTAATGGACTTCCCTGCCAGTGTTCTATCTGGAGTATAGGCAATTGCTTCTGCTGTAACTAAGCGAAATCATTCCTGGATATGTAATTTGTCCATGTGAGTTAAAACACCGTCTAGTTCATTTTAATTTTTTGAAATAAGAACAAAGGGTGTCCCTTGAAAGAAGTGAAACAATGCCTCCCATTTTTGCTTCTTGCATGCTCAAACTAATGGGAGTATTTGAACCTTTGTTCTTATGTAACTAAAGGACTGAGGACTTTCCAATGATTTGGAAGCAACGAGAGACTTAGCAATCCAGCAGTTTACTCCATCAATATTACAAGCTCAAACCAATAACTTTGCAATTATTGTGTGTATTTGATTTCTTTAGTCAATTTTAATTCTAACCTTTCTTTCTTTTTATAAATAAACCTTTACATGTTAGATATGAAAGGATTGGCAACAGCACATTTGTTGGGTAAGATGAATTATATACACAACTGAGTTTAATTAAATTGTTTTCATGTAACCACTCATCATTAAGTTCAGTGGTTTAGTGGCAATCCAAGTTCTAGGATGCCTGACGAGACTCTTTTTATTATTTCTTGTTAGACTGTGTGATGAAACAGATTTTTTACTTTGTTGCTGGACGGGTGAATTTTATGGGAGAATAACCATCAGTTTGAGGTGTATCTGCCCTATTTCTCAGCTGTTTGTCCTTAATTTGGTATTCTTGGTTGTGACTCTCAGAAGCTGGGTGACACTAAGGGTGTGTCTAGACTACAGAGTTTTGTCGACAAAAGTGGACTTTTGTCGACAAAACTATACCTGCATCTACACTGCCGCTGAGTTCT